GAATTCGATGAATTCAATGACCTTGGAGATTACAATATGCAAGGAGTAGAGAAAAATAATGATCGACTCTCTAATATCTATTTTTCATCTACAAATCCCGCTAAAAATCCCCTCCTTACTATGCTTCAGAAACTTTATCGAACGCTCGAGATGAACTTTGAAGAAGAAGCAGAAAGAGATGCAATGGCTGAATTTGCTCGAACAGGTGTATACGATTTCGTTGAAACTGTAAATCATTCTAAACCATCACATGACGATGACATTTTCTTTCATAACAAAGAACAACAAAAATTAGATAGTGATGATGAACCTGAAGGGCAATTTGATCGATCTGTAGAAGATGTTGCTGAAGTAGAAGATGAAAGCGACATAGACTTAGATGAATCAATGATTTGGGCACCTGAAAAAAGATTTGAAACTAACTTTTTACGTAGGACTGAAAATCGATTCAAGAGTTTCCGAAGATCATAAGTAAAATGTTAAGCTCAGGATGAAATACATTTATAGTCCTCATGTTTTATTTCCGCATTTTTTATTTACATATTCGTTTTCTTCAAAACGCGTTCGCTGTTGTAAATATGTTCTACATTGATAAATGAATTTGTAGAAATTTTTATTGTATAGTATATAATTTTTTACTCTATATTTATAATTAGGCATGTACTTTTGTAAATAATCTTTTCTAGGTATGAGTCATTGCTTTGTCAATAATTTATGTACTTTCAGCATATCGTCTTATTGTGATAAAAAATGTGGGCAAAAAGTTCATATTCCTCCTTATCATCCTATTTATGATGGTCATATACATCTGAATCAAGTTGTTACTAAAATTCAATCTGACTTTATTTCTCTTAAAGCAATCCCTCCTATTCGTGAATATCATTTCGTCAATAATAATCACAAACCTAATGAATGGTCGGTTTTGAATTCTTTCCATTTTCCTCCACACGTTCACATATATCCTACCATAGGTATTCACCCAAAATATTTTGATCCACAAGATGTATATAAAATTCTTGATGATCTTCAAAATCATTTAGAAATCTCCCATCATATTGCAAATCCTAAAAGTAAAATAGTTGCCGTTGGAGAATGTGGACTTGATGAAACAGCCATGACAACCATTGACCAACAATTATTTGTCCTTGAAAAACAGATTGATCTAGCCAATCGATTCCATCTTCCAATCGTTATCCATTGTCGTGGTCCTCATCTTTATCAAAAATTATTCGATTGTCTAAAAAGCCGAATC